AACGGGCATCCAAAGTGCCCCCTCTGGGTCAGGCTCAGCGTAGATATTTTGTGTGCTTGGCATTTCCCCTCAAGATTAGTAGAAGGGGGCCTTTGACAAACTCCACTCACGACTTGCACCGCACCAGTGCGATCTGCCATATTTTGACAACTTGGAAAAGACCAGAGCCTCATAAGGTTCCATTAAAATATGGCATAAAATGCCGATCTGCCATCTATGAGGGGGCACTTTGGATGCCCGTTTGTTTGAAAATTTACGAGACAAAAATGAATTCAGATAAAGTAAGTAATAGTGAGGCAGGAAAATCCACCTCTTCTATGACCCACTTGGTTCTAAGCCTGGCCAAGCCCTATAAACACTGGATTGCACTCGTTTTCTTCACTATGCTGGTAGATACCGCCATGACCCTGGCAGCACCTTGGCCACTGAAAATTGTTTTAGATAATGCTTTAGGCAATAAGCCTTTGCCAGCCTGGTTACAGTGGGTACACACTTTAGGCCTGGACTCGGGGACTATGAGTTTGGCTTTGTTCGCTGGCGTGCTTACCTTACTGATTGCCGCAATAGATGCAGTCGCCAATTACATCAACAACTACTACACCGAGAGTATTAGCCAGTATGTCGCTAACGATTTGCGTGAACGCATGTACGATAAGTTGAACGTACTGTCCATGCACTACTACTCCAAACACGATATTGGCGCACTTTTGTCAACCATGTCCTCAGATATATCGACTGTGCAGAGTTTTGTTTCCTCCTCAACCCTGGGCATTTTGGTTGATATTTTGACCATTATCGGCATGATCGGCTTGATGTTTTACTTGGAATGGGATTTCACCTTGATCGCCCTGGCGGTCACCCCGTTTATGCTCTTGTTCGTAGGCCGCTTAAAGCGTGCCGTCAAGACTGCCACTGTTGAAGTGCGAAAAAAACAAGCACAAGTGATTGCTGTGGCCACACAAGGTTTAGGTGCTGAGCGCTCCATTCAAGCTTTTGACCGCCAAGACCTGGAAAGCCGGAGAATGATGGCCATCAGCTATGAAACGGTTATGGCAGCCCTCAAAGCACGGGCATACAAGGCCTTGATGTCCCCTATCGTCTCCATCATTGTGGCCGGCTGTACAGGTGTGGTGCTGTGGTTGGGAACCAAACAGGTACTGGCCGGTGCGATGACCGTAGGGGGTTTGACCGTCTTTTTGGCTTATCTCAAACAGTTTTTTAGCCCCGTCAAAGACTTGGCAACCATGAGCAATACCATTGCGCAAACCACGGTCAGCTTGGAGCGTATCTACGACATTCTGGACTCCGACGATATGATCCCCGAAAAACCAGATGCCAAACTACCACCAAAAGCGATGAAAGGGGAAATCGTTTTTGAAGACGTGGCTTTTGCCTATGAACCCGACAACCCTATTTTGCGCGGCGTAAGCTTTACCGTCAAACCCGGTCAAATGGTTGGTGTTGTCGGCTCTACTGGGAGTGGAAAATCGACCATTGCTAGCCTTATCCCACGCTTTTATGACCCCACACAAGGCACCGTCAAAATTGATGGCACAGATGTGCGTGATTTTCAGTTGCATCCTCTGCGTCAACAAATTGGCTTTGTCTTGCAAGAAACCGTCTTATTCAAAGGCACCATACGCGAGAACATTGCTTACGGACGCCGAGATGAGGTCAGCGACGAAGAAATTATTGAAGCGGCAAAACTCGCCAATGCACATGAATTTATTGTACAAATGCCCGCCGGCTACAACACCCCTGTAGGAGACCGTGGTGACACTATGTCTGGCGGACAGCGCCAGCGCATTGGCATTGCCCGTGCCATGATACGCAATAACCCCATCATGATCTTGGATGAACCCACTGCCGCACTGGACACCCAAAGCGAAAAAGCAGTCATGGAAGGTCTGCGCTCTCTCATCAAGGGGCGCACTGCGATCACTATTGCACACCGTTTATCAACCATACGCGAAGCAGACAATATCATTGCGCTAGACAAAGGTGTCATCATCGAACAAGGCACTCACCAAGAGCTCATGACACTTAACGGTTTTTATGCCAATCTTTATCGCATTCAGTTTCCAGATGAAGGCGCCTCGCCTACTGCATCTGCCGCACCCGCGACCACCAGCGCCTAAATTTTTAATATTCACGAACTGACCCAGGAGCATCCCATGCCAAAAAGTTTACTCATTTATCCAGACGCTGGCCCCGCACCGCTGGTAGAGGCCATTAACAGTGCACGCAATAGCCTACGCATTAAAATGTTCGTATTTGACTACGAGCCACTGATAGAGGCCGTCATTGCTGCCCATAAGCGAGGCATAAAAACACGAATTATGCTCAATCCGGCCCGCCGCAGTGGTGAGGGCGAAAATGAAGAGACGCGCGCCAAGTTACTGGCTGCAGGCGTTGATGTAAAAGACAGTAATCCCAGTTTTGCGCTCACTCATGAAAAATCAATGGTGGTAGATGACACCACTGCATTTGTCATGTCTTTGAACTGGGAGGAGCGCAATTTGCTGCAAACCCGCGACTATGCCATAGTGACCCATCAACACGATGAAGTGGCCGAAGTACTCGCATGTTTTGATGCCGACTGGGACCGCACAGAATTCAAACCCTGGCCAAAATCAAACTTGATCTGGTCTAATACCAACGCACGTGAGCGCTTTGCCCATTTTATTGATAACGCAAAACACAGCCTATGGCTGCAAAACGAACGTTACCAAGATGCCGTCATTATTGAGCGTGTCGTTCGTGCCGTGACACGAGGGGTGAAAGTACATATCATGGCCCGCGCACCGCACACCCTAAAATTAGAAAAACTCATGGAAGGCGTTGGCGGTTTGCGCATTATGCAAGATGTGGGTGCCAAAG